ATGTGAAGCAAATGGGAGTCCCAGTAATTTCTGGAAGATGAGTACTGCTTGTGAAATGTCATTTGGAAGCTGGAGACATTGAGCAAGTCATTTTTATCTTTATATACATCTACATTCCATTTGGAATCATAGAATTATTAAGGTTGAAAAAGACCTTAAGGATTATCAAGTCCAACTGTTCACCACTAAACCATGTCCCCAAGTGCCACATGCACTTTGCACACTTCCAAGGATCGTGATTTCACCACTTCCTTGGGCAGGGAATTGTTTCAATGCCTGACCATTCCAATACCCTTGTCCTTTCCCTTCTCTTCTCCTTTAGGGAGGAATAGTCTGACTGTCTTGCACTTGGAATCACAAATTCTTTGCAAAATTTATGTCTTTTGATTTTTGGGTTTTTACAATAACTATTTTCTAATAATAAACAAATCAACCAGGGGAAGTTCTCTTGTCTAGCGGTAAAAGACGCAAAGTGACTGCATCTGTGAATCTTGATGTTCTTTTACCCCAAAACAGAGTATCTATGTCCCAGCTGCTTCTTGGTAATAATCCCTTGGTAAATGCTGCCACCAACACCATGGGGAGTACCATGTGGAAAGTGTTAATTTATATAGGACAAAATAATTCCAGCAAGCAAAAAAAAAGAATATAATTATTTAGTGCTGTGGTAGTTTTTTTCTGAATCCATTTCATTTAGGACGGTAATAGTCAATATTTATAATTTCTGTTGCAACTAATAATTTCTAATTTTTTATGAAAAATCATGTGACTTAGCACTAAGGTACTTAGTCATTCTGAGACAAGTTTTGGAATTCCTGCAGATGAAAGGCATCAAATAAAATGATTATTGTAGAGAAATATCACAGACACTTTGTCCAAAGATCAGAAATTAGATGTTAAGAGAAGCAGGATGAAGGTGGGCGTACAACACAAAAGACAATTTCGCCTGTTGGGGCTCAATATTAAATAAAATGAGGAAAAACTGGAAATCATGTACAACCAAGGTGGTTTCATCTACACAATTAATATTCCATGGTTCCTTCTGAAATCTGTTTCAAAGTTATTCTGCTATGTGAATGTATTATTTATTCTCAAATTAATTTATCTGTAAGGATATCTCCTGGCATATGACTTCTGGATGACAAAAGCAGTAAAGACAAACAGGTGAAGCCCCGGTGTCCACATCTCAATTAAGCTGAGTAACGGTTAATTTAAAATAACATTTTTTTTTCACATTTGAAAGTCAGCACACTCGCCTTTGCATTTGAGGTTAAGTCTCATTCTTCAAGATGCATGAGGTAAATATTTGCCAAGCATGTAAAATGTTTTCCATGAATCAAAAAGCTCTGGAATGTTACAGTCACTAATGACTGTATATTGCATATCTGTCACAAGCAGGCAATGCAATTTCAGAAACTGCATAGTAGGTCAAGAGTGGAGAGTTTATTGAAAGGTATCTTTTTCCTCTCCTTGGGGCTGTAAAGGGAATTTATGTGATATGCATTCGTCTTGGCCAATCCATTTTGTCTTTATCTGAGCATGAAACAGATGCTGTGAGAAATCCATAGCTTCAAAAAAATCCCAATATTTTTGCAAGGCTTTGGATTTAAAATATTAGGGATGAATCCAAATTAAAAATGGAACATAAAGGAAAGCAAAGAGGAAGTGGAAATATTGATTAATTTATGATTTCCCATAAATCTAGTGTGTGGCTTTGTGACTTTAGTTCTTTCTGTGCATTGGGAAAAGAAACAAAATAATTCTCCACTTAACAAAACAACAGGGAAGAATATTTGGGGCAACAAAAGAGTATTCATTAGTAGAGGTAGTTTTTCTTGTAAGCCCATGGCATTCCAGTGAACGGCACTCTCACTACACTTGGAATGCCCTTTTATAACCTTCTCAGTGGAATGGGTAGCCCAGAGAAACTCCAGGATCAGACAAGGAGTGAAAGTATAAATCTTATCTTAGTCATTTTCCTGCATAGAATTGCAAGAAAAGTTAATTTCATGACTCTTCTTGAATTTCAGATGGAGCACTTTCTCCTTAGAGCACTCTGAACCATCTGTTCTTCTCAAAATCTTGCCTCCTATCTTTTCCCCCGACAAATGATGCACAAAAAGTCCCCAATACAATCTGCTTGTATGATCTGGGTTTATACTGGTGTCACATCCATCCCAGGTCAGTGCCTTACGTCATTCTCTACAGAACCAACCAACGACCCTAGCTTCTGACCAACAGGTAAATATTCACAGACAACAGAGCCCAAGAGTCAAAAACCAAGAGAGCACATAGGAAAGTCATGGAAAACAGATCTTTAAATCCCTACAGGAACTCAGATTATCACTGTAAATGATATAATTGTTTTATGCCCCATCTATGTCAAGAAGTGCTTTCAAGTTCTCTGGTTTTTCTGTTATTTTTTCTTTTGCCTCTGCCTCAAAACCTAGAGATTAGCCCATAGCGGAGGGAGAACTTTTTCGTAAGAATGAACATTTTTGTGAAACATTGTTACTCCACAACTTCCTACACCCTACACATGATTCTTGCTGCATGGCAGAAACACAAAACACTGCTCTACAGACTCAGGGTGACTCAAAGCCTTACAAAAGTCCTCAGCTGGCAAAATTAGTTAGTTTTTATTTGTTAATGCTTTTGGTTTATTTTTCCCTGGCTTATAGCTGATTTTGATATCAAATTGGACACAAAGCTGTTGAAAAATACTGGATGCTCAAAGATCCTTGGGAACTCTGAAGTGCAGAGCCAAAGCAGGGAGACTATATCTCTCCAGCCATCCTTGTCTGATGCAGCAATTACTGGCTGGGGCATATTAACCTATGCCTGAGCAGACACTTCTCAGCCATTACCTTGGAATCTCTGGTAATAAATAAAAGGATAGAAAAAATCCCTACACTTTCCTTTTTCTTTCTTTGTAAACACTTCCAGCTCTTGCTGCATTTTTCACAATTAAATTGTGTAGTAGTGCCACAGGCATGGATACACCCTAAATGGTCAGTTACTATTAAGGATTTTTGTTTCAATTGGAAAGACTTTACAGTTTAGGTTTCTAAGAGAAGCTATCACTTTCAATTTACTCAATGGAAGTCATATACCGAATAACAGTTGTCTTATAATTACTCATGACAATTTCCACTGCAGCTAGAAACAGGTATTTTTCACAAAGAAACAAAACAAAACAGACAAAACAACAAAAACTTGAAGCAAAGCCTTAAAGTCTGTTCTCTTTAGGCCTTGCTTTTTTTTGAAGAGGTAATCTGAATTGCTCTACTCTTATTCACCGTCAGCAATTTCTGAAGTCCTTATTCATAAAAGCATCTCAGGGGGCTAAACTTAGCACTGTTGTACATAAATCCCATAAAAAATTATGTACAGTTTGGAGTCTGGAGTAGTTAAGGGCCAACATATTTTTTTTAAAACAATGCTTATGTGCTTCTAAATTTGGGTACTGCTGCAGATAGTTGACATTTAGGACAGAAGATAGCAAACATCCTATGGCACCAGATTCAGCTAGAGATAGTGGAGGTGGCGTTTGCTCCAATCTACTCTAAACAACTGACAAGTACTCTTTTCCACCAAAGGTAGTTATCAAGAGAATCTTTGTACAAGGCCTTTGCCAGAATATGATTTCTCTGAGCTACTTGAAATATTCACATTACAAACAAGGGACCTAAGAAGGTCCTACTTTGCTCAATTAAGTGTAGAGCAAATACTGATGGCTACATGGAAGTGTCTAAATTATAGACATCTATAAATGTTCATATGAATTTCACCTTGAGGATCGTGGTCCCTTTGGGTGTCTGTCCAGAAAAGGACCAAGACAGTCCATGGAAGTCCCTACAGATAAAATGTATTAGAAAAGAAGGATGGAGACAGTTGCCATGTATCGGAGAAAGAATTAAGAAATTCCCATCTGAAAATGCCAATATATAGGCTGAAGTCAAAGACTAAGGTCAGAGACAAGAGTCACAGTTGTTTGCTTTCCCCTTTGCCCGAGGGGGAAGGGCAGCTGTGTGCAACGGGGCAGACTGGGAACAGAGGCTGGTGTCCTACCAGTTGGACAGACTCAGTTTCCCAGCTGCCAAGACAGTCCTTGAAAGTTTCCCTGGAGGTCTTACCATGGCTTCTGGTTTCACTAACACCATTTTACTTGTATTCCCATAGGGTTCATGCTTGGGACAGCAACAGGTCATCCTTCTAATAATGCACTGAAGTGGCACTGAGAACATTAGTTGACTAATGTTCTAGTTGACTCCCAGTATACTCCCTTTTGTTTTCAATACATCATTTTTCCTGTCTTGTTTAGGATCCACTTGCTGAATAAGGGGAAAATGTAAAGATCCCTTTAGGTTCACATCAATAACTTCTTTACTTATAAGCCCAGGATTTCTTCCTTCTAGATGAACACACACTAAGTGACTTTTCTTTTCTTCCTGTGACAGTTAGGAAAGGAAACACTAATATCATAGAGCTAAGAGAAAGGATTACCTATATATTGCCCTTAGGATGTTATGCACATCAACACACTGAATCAGGAAGAAAAGGTGACAGTTAACAAACTCTGTTTTGGGAAATCCTGTTTCAGGTACGCCCAGAAGCCATATCAGCAATCTTTAACACAGAGTTACTGGAGTGAGACACAGCTTCAGGCTGTGTAAGTACACAATGCATTTTAAACTGCAGTGAACAAAACAGTGATATAGATCAAAGATTTTTGCGCCAGCTTTCCCTTACTCATCGCTGCTTGGTGTGGCCAAGCAGACTAGTGTTTGCCTGGCATGTCATGAGAATGATGCATGTCTTTGTAGAGTCTGTACTGCTACGACAGAGCTGACATTACTCCCTATCTTTTAGACATGCACAGGTATAGGAGAGGCCATGAGTCTGTGCTGCATGTGCCTCATGTCCAGAAAATGTGATAGTTTTCTCTTTTTTGCCCTGCTGACTAAAACAGCAGGCTATAACTGCATGGTTTTACTCACCTGCCCAGCAGCAAGAACTCCCCAGCGAGTCCCAGGCGCCTCATGGCCATCAGGAGGCCTCTGACAGTCATGCCCTCACAGAAGCAGGCCACCACTCTTGCCTTGGGCAGGTGGCTCCGGAGCTTTCGCAGCAGCTTGTCAAAGCTCTGCTCGCCAGCATTGCTGTAGATCTTGTAGGAGTGTGCAATGCAGATCCCTTCCTTGGCTGCCATGTCTTTGAAAGCCTCCATTCCACTTTCACCATAGTTTCCTAAATGCAAACAGAAACACAAATGCATATATTAATATCTGTGGCAGCTTTACTTCCTTGGGAAACATCAGATATTTTAAATGTGTTACATATCTTCAGAGAGATCACTGTACCAATCTTAACAATATCACTTTAATCTTTTGCTTAATCAATTTTTCAAGACAAGGTCAATAAATTTTCCTGGAAAATTCATGGCTCTTCAAGAGACTGCATCTCTGCTTAAACCAAAGGCTGTTGAGTACTTCACTACCCGTGAGGATCGGGTCCATAATGTGTACAATAGTGTATATACAAATGGCAGTCTCTTCTGATTCTCTTAAACTGACTGATGTGGCCAAATTCTCTGTGATTTACTTCAGTAAATTAAAAAAAAAATACATTGAGAATTAATTTTTAGGTGTAGTATTTTAAATATATGCAAAAAGCTCACAATATCACCTAACTCATAATGCAATCTGAAAAGCAATATTTTTTTAGTCAGAGTGAAAAGTAAAATTTGCTTTGCTGAAGCAAAAACTTCTACTGGAGAATGAATAATTAAATTGAGGGTTAGCATTACAGGGATCACTAGAGCACAGATGAACTCAATGTGCTTTAATATTTTTCTGGGTTTTCTTCCTGTTTGTTTGTTCTGAATTAAATTTCAACCAGTGGGAAATACTTCATTTTTTCTTTCCATATCCTTCTTCCTCTATGGAGATAAGCTGGTAATAGATATTAACAGACAGATATTTTTTTTGCTTTATTCTGTTTTAGCACAGACACTTTCTTCACTGCCAGGCCTACACAAAAGTCACAGTGCTTAAACAGTGGATGTACTGATACCACTGACAGTTGCCCCGACCATGGTTGTGTGTCTGCTTCCCTGTGCTCCTCCATCTGGCTGTTGAAATCTGTTTCATGTCTCATTTAAACAAGGAGGTCTCTGAGGCAGGAAATCTTTCTCAAAAGTAATGTCTTAAACCCTCAGTAATATTCCACAGAGATACAATCAGTTAATTAATTAATAAAACTGGGAGTGTCAAGTGATCAAGTTGCAAGAAACCACTGATCCTTCACAAATTTCTTAGCTTGCAAATGGAAGAATCTGTAAGAAAAATACTCTCTTACCAGCAGAATTACAAGAACACAGGAGCACTGACAGTGAAAATGCATGTGAAGCAGTGAGGATCAGACATGGATTTAGACTGTCGTCTGTTTGTTTGGTTTTTTTGACTTTGGACGTTGAAGCTATCAAGAATTCATCTTGCCCACCTGAGGACTCATCCCTATCACTCTGGGGCTACAGCTCAGGGGTTTTGTTACACTCAGAGCTGAATATGAATTTAAAAACAGTGCTCAGTTTCAGGATCTTACCATCCAAATAGTCAAAAGAGGAAAAGAACAAGAAGACAGGAAGTAACATTATCTTTCTTTCACACCAGCAATGAATCTCTGAGACCTTGAGACCACTAAATTTCCAAATTGCACCCAACCAAAATGGCAACCTGAATGAAGGTCTTTCTACCTGAAGGTAGACCCCTACCTGAAAGGTCTTTCATTTTCTTCCTTGCTGTGATTAGGTCTAATGGAAACCACATTATCATGCAAATTGTGCCTGGACAAAATGTCATTTAAACCCAGTTGTTCCAGTGCTTCTTGAGAGTAGTAAATCAGGAGTCCAGTGCTTAACCCTGTGTCATGCCTTTAGGGCAAATTGTGTTTCCTCTGGTACATGACCATCAAGTGATTTCCATGGGACATTGAAATAGTTCATCTCGAGGTCAAAACCATGGTGTCTCATGAAATATGTATTATAGCTGCCAAAGCCAGCCTGAAGGAAAAATTGGGGTCAGTCAGATTTAACTCCCAGCAGACCCCTAGGTCTTCAAAAATGAAATTAAGCCATCTGACAGGAAATAAACTACTTTGTCTAAAATTATTTGCATTTAGGTCATTCTGGATCAACATTAAATATTCTATTTCACTTTTTCTAACAGAAGATGAAAAGAACAAGGAAACATTGTCAATCTTTGCCATAGAAGATGTAAGTTTGAGGAAAAACTATATATCTCAATATCCTGGTTTTGGCTGTTATAGAGTTAATTTTCTTCACAGTAGTTAGTATAGTGCTATGTGTTGGATTTGTGCTGAACACAGGGTTGATAATATAGAAATGTTGTGTTGCTGAGCAGGGATTACACAGAGACAAGCCCTTTCTACTTTTCATGCTCTCATGCTGGTGAGGAAGTTGGGGGTACATGGGAGGCTGGGAGGAGACACAGCTGGGACAGGTGACCCCAGCTGATCAAAGGGATATTCCAGGCTGTGGCATCATGCTCAGTACATAAAGTTTGGGGGAGAAGGAGAAAGGGAAGGATGTTTGGAATGATGGTGTTTCTCTTCTCAAATCACCATTACACGTGATGTGGCCCAGATTTCCTGGAGACAGCTGAATGCCTCATGGGAATTAGTGATTTAATTCCCTATTAACTTTGCTTGTGTGCACAGCTTTTCTTTACCTATTTAACTGTCTTTATCTTAAACTACGTGTTCCTTAGCTTTTACTTTTCTGATTCTCGCCCCAATTCTGCTGGTAGGGGAGTGAGCGAGAGGCTGCCTAGTGCTTCATTGCTGGCTGGGGTTAAATTATGACACCAAAGACACTGAAATTCTGAAGATCTCATTTTCTGTCAAAAAACTGAGTGGAAAATTCCCAGCCAGGTCTAGTTTACTTACAGAACTGCATATATTTTATGTTGTAAATACTGCAGTATTTGCTTGGAAGTGTTATAAGCATTCAAACTTTTCTGTTTGAATTCTGTTATCCTCAGGCTTGGTTTAAGGTTGACAATAGGTTTAATTACAGTACTGAAAAATAGCAGGTCTTTTAGACAGCACAAAGTGCATTAACTCCTTTCTAATCCAATAAATTCTGCTCGAGCACAAACACCCTGGTTTCATCAAGCATCGAGACGGGAAGATTTTATGAAACCATACAAAAAGTTATGTGTCATACAAAATCATATGAAACATGTTAAACTACCAGTAGTACTTAGGAAAATGTTATGTTCTTAACGTTTGGAAGAAAATACATCCTGGCAGTCCAAATCTGAGAGTCACTGAGGTCTCCAACTGGGAAAACTACAGCTCTATGACATGGGTTCAAGAGAGATTTGATAAAAACAGAAAGCAGTTTTGCTTCAAGACACTCATACAAATACACCAGTGGTGCTCTTGCCTTGCTGATTAAACTCTATGCAATTAATTGTTCATAGTGAACTCTCCTGTTGTGCAAGTGTTTTGATGAGGTATGTATATCTTGTATGAGCTATACTGTGGGGATAATGAACACTCCATGATGGAAAAAAAAAATCTTTTCTGTTAAATTTTTTTGCACCATATATTAGCAAAAATTTAATCTGGGTTCTCCTTCTGAATAAAACATGTATGTGCAGAAACATATACATTTAGCATTGAAGAAATGAGAGTGGGAAAGAAGGTAAGATATATTCTGTCATTTCCTTGAGGATGTAAGGTTCTTAGTGGAAGAGAATCTCCATGCTTTCTGTATAGAACTGGCCTCCTCAAGGACATGATTCTTCAGTATACCTATAGCAGTACTATGAAAACTGCCTCAGCTAGAGCAAGTTTCCACCAATGGGGCAGTTCCCACTGTTCAGCCAAGTCTATGACACAAGAAAAAGGATATAGAGGCTTCAGGATTTACACAAATGGATGGACAATGGTGACATCTTATGCAGCTTGTAGTTTCACTTCCAAGTGCAAATTAATTCAGAACTCTTTAGCTGGAAAAAAACTAACATTTTTTTGTGAGTCCCATATGATGAAAGTTGCCTACATCCTGGGAATTTATCCATGTATCTATTTTGTTTCATCTTCTAAATTTAAAGAAAATTCTGAAGGAAATGTTCAGCAGAAGGGGGGGATTGATTTACTCTTGCTCGCTTAATTCCAGTTCATCAGAAAAGACTCCCCAAAAACACAAGCTGGACCTCAAGTACAGTCAATTTAAATTCAGCTCCTCTTGCCCCACCAAAATCCATCTCCATTTCAGTATTTGGAAACTGGCACCTTTATGCTGCTACTGGTTCTGCTGGAGGGCATATCACAGTTTTTCAGTTGGTGTTCCTGTCCTCTTGAAATTTTTTCTGCAGTACTGTAATCAGAACTATTAGCAGTAGATGGCGTTTGTAAATGTGTGCTCTTGGCAACAAGTGGTAGCAGGGTTCTTTTAGAATACTGGCCTGGATCCTGCCTGTTACCTACCTGAACACCTGGCCCTAAGCCCAGTGTAAAGCTACTCCCATATGTCACTTCATGTTTTTTTAAAAAAGCAATTGCATCATCGTGCGAAAGACTTGTCCCTGCTGCAGAGTTGGAATTTTGTTCAAAACTCAAGCATATGTGTCCCCACCTACAGTCTAACTATAACAATCTGTTGGTTCCACTTCCCATGAATCAGTACTAGAAACTATTAAGAAGCTTAAAAAGAACAGATTGTGCTTTTTTTCCAGATGATGCTTAATATAGTACAGCACATAATAATATTTCAATCTGATAGAAAAGGATCAGGCAAACTGCAGGCAGCTCTTGCTTCCCCTCCTGCTCCCAGCTGAGCCAATTAAACTACCTAACCATAACCCATTTAGATCTTATGTGCATTACAAAGCAAAACAACGTTTTAATTCTTAAAATATTTAGCAAAATGTATTGACATCTGCCCTATTAGATTAAAGGTTATCAATAGGAGGTGAAAAGTCTCTGCTGTCAAATGGAAGAACAAACTGTGTTTTCTCCTGCCCAGGAATTTTTGGGATGTCATGCATGCCTTTTTGCATAAAAGAGCTTTTTTTATTCATAGCTGTACCCGCAAATTGCTATCAGCCAGTTCTTTTGTTTAAGATATTTTCATTGACCATAGATGAGCATCAACCTTTAGGAGAGTTTTAAGATGTAGGATTGTTTCTGGCAGGTCACAGTGAAAATTCACAAAGCAA